GGGTGTGCCAGGAGTGTTCAGGAACTGGAATGACAGGCCACAGAGTAGATTGACAGCCCCAGGGTGTGCCAGGAGTGTTCAGGAACTGGAATGACAGGGCCAGGAGTGTTCAGGAACTGGAATGACAGCCCCAGGGTTCAGAATATCTTTTTCCCTGTTTTCCTCCTCTAAAAACTAGGTGCGTCTTATGGTCAGGTGCGTCTTATGGAGCGAAAAATACGGTATATATGCCACATCATCTGCAAATGCCAACAGTTTATATTGCTCTTTCTTAACTTGCAGTCTCGTTATTTTATTTTCTCTTCTGATAGCTTCATTCAACACTTCCAACACCATGATAAATAATAGCGGAGATAGTGGACAGCCTTGCCTTGTTCCTTTCTCAATCTTGAAGCTTTCTGATAATTCGCCATTAACTGCAACTCTTGCTTTTTGCTCTTTGTAAATTGCCTGAATCATAGTAATAAAGCTTTCTCCTGCTTTCTCCTGCTTCCAACATCCACAATGTCTCTATCATAAATATCCAATTAACATTGTCAAAAGCTTTTTCTGCATCCAAAAAAAATTATTGCCATTTGTTTTTCACAATGTGATTCATAATATTCTAATACATTCATCAGTATTCTTAAATGATTTCTCATCTGTCTTTTAGGTAAAAACCTGATTGATCTATATTTATTGTTTCCACTAATACTTTTTTCAGTCTTTGTGCCAAAATTGATGCATGTATTTTATAATCCGTGTTTAACAGTGATATTGGCCTATAATTTTTCATTTCTTTTTCATCGGTGTTTTGTTTATGTATCTTTCCATGTTTCTGGAATAGTTCCTTGCTCTTTTGCCAAATTACATATGTCCTTAAAAATTAAAGCTAACTGTTCTTCGAAAATCCTGTAAAATTCTATTGGCAGACCATCCGGTCCTGGGGCTTTCCCTCTATTCTGTCTTTTAATCGCCTCTACTAGTTCCATCATCGAAATTTGTTGGTTTAATACTTTTCTTTGTTCTTCTGTAAATCTTTGTAACTTATGCTTCTGTAAGTAGCTTTGTATTTTCTCTATATCCACTATAGTCTTGCCATAAAGAGCTCTATAGTATTCTTCCATAGCGCTTCTAATTTCTCTGTTTGTATAAATCTCCTTCCCTTCTCTCCTCAGGACCTTGATAAAAGTTCTCTCCTTCTGTTGATGTAGCCTGTATGCCAACCATCTTGTTGGTTTATTTGCATTTTCAAAAAAGTTTTGCTTGGCAAAGAAAAGTTTCTTTGCCAATTCTTCCTTAAGTAAACAATTCATTTGATGTTGCAACATTATTAATCTTCTTTTCTCTTCCTCCTTATTTGCTTTTGTCATCATTATGCTTTCTTGTACCTTCTTCAAGAACAGCTCTGAAAGGACTTGTAAATGACCCAAGATCACACCAGCAGCTGCATGTGGAGTGGGGAATCAAACCCGGTTCTCCCAGATCAGAGTCTGTGCACTTAACCACTACACCAAACTGGCTCTTAATGTTTTCTTATCATGCATGTTAAGGGTGGAGGGGGAGGGGAAGCATCCTTTTACTACTTTAATGAATTATGGGGAAGGTCCCCGCTTCTTTTTATTTATTTATTTATACATTCAGCTTATATACCGCCCTGACCCTGAAGGGTCTCTGGGCGATTTACATACAAGTCTAAGGTCCCGTCCACACGAGGGGATTTGGGCCAGTTGTGGGACAGTTCGGGGGCGGATCAAAGCAGCGCGATCACACCGCAACATCTGGGATGCGTGGTGCTTCCGTCCCTGAACTGGCCCTTCCCCGCTCAAATCCGCTTCAAGTTGAAACCACCTACCTTGGTGATTCAACTTGAAGTTAAAAGCCGCGCCTTAAGAGGCTTTTCCCCTGCCGTGTGGCAGGGGCCTAAGACTACTTTTCCCTAACTATGGCCACATAGTACAGGGGCGGGGCTGCCTACCAGCACCCAGGTGGTGGGGCTTGCTGTTCTGGCTCGGCTCCTCCTTCTTCCAGTAGTCTTCGGGGTCGGTGCTTCCGTTCTGGCGGCCAGGGGTAGGTTTCCCTTTTTTGGTGGCTTTCTTTCTTCAGAGGGCCCAGAGATTTGGTTCTGTACATTAAATACATTCTAAGTTGCCAACCAGGATGAGTGAGGTTGCATTAAAACTGAAAAAATAAAGGGGAGGATTAGAAGTTGGGATTTATTTATTTATTTATTTATTGGCTACCACACACTGACAAGGCTGCCATGGCAAGATCTGGTTGTGCAGGAGCTGGGCTGAACTAAAGAAAAAGGAAACCATAGACCTTCTTAGGAGGCTGCATCCTGTCTTGGCTGGTCTTCATTTGCTCCAATAAAGGCTTGGCTGGCTATGGGTTTAACAAGACCTGATCAGCAAACATCCCCTCCAACACCCAATAAACTGCAGAAAGGCCAAGCGTTTCTTTACTGTGCTCTGCTTTCCCTGCACTCCTAGTGGCTGCAGTCAGAACTGTACTAGTGAATTATTATTTTTTTTGAAAAGCCTTCCATATGAATACAGCATGTCACTGCCTTCAGGGGCACTCCAGCTGACTTGGGGCTCCGAATTTTGTTCCCCAAATCCCCCAGTGTTGGCAGCCCTGTCTGGAAATCCCTTCTTTGATTCAGAATATTTGCAGGATGTGTAAAACGTCTTTAGGAAGTCATTTTTTCAAAGAAAATAGGAATATGGTTGTAGTTTTAATTTGAGGTAATATACCATTTTTATTTCATTCTTATTGAATGTTGTAATCCAGTTTTATTGCATAGTTTTTCAGATAATGATGTAATCCAGTTTTATTGTAGTGTTTATTGGATATATTATACTGGTCTTTATTACATTTTTTAAATAATTCCATAATTCACATTGATTCTCAAATGAAAAAAATCCTCTTATGTGCAGAAATTCGTGAAGCTTTCCGAGTGCTGGATCGTGATGGCAATGGCTTCATCTCGAAACAGGAGCTGGGGATGGCTATGCGCTCCTTGGGCTACATGCCCAGTGAAGTGGAATTAGCCATTATCATGCAACGCCTTGACATGGATGGTGAGTTTGGTTCCTCTCCAGATCTGCATTTCTTTTATTGATTTGCAGTATTGTTTTACCTCTTTACATCCCATCATTATGGCATTTGAGTTGACCAATCCAGATAGCCCTGCATCCTCCGAGAAGAACCTCATTGACAAGTGTTTGGAGCCCTGGTCAGAAGTTCCTAAGTTCACAGTAGCCCAAGGAAACAATATGCAAGGTTCAGGTTTGCTTACAAGGAAATTTTAATAAATCATCAAATTTACAGAAATAGCAGGCTAACTTCAATCCTCTGCGCCTTAAACACACACAGTGAATCCAACCAAAACCAGATACTCATCTCTCAGTACATAGCTAAAACTACAAATCTAGTACCCTGCTGGCTACAAATCAAGAATATCATCATCAAAGCTATATCTCTAAATGCTGACAGAATATCTTGCACCTGGTACTCAGTGGTGGAGGGAAACACCACCAAAGGACACCAATAGACTGTGTGTTACAAACTCTTCTTGCCCCTAAGGGTGGGATCTACATTGTCCTTCTCTTTGGCCTCCAAGTGGTAGAATTCTAACAAAGCTCCTTGGGATTTTTTACACATAACACTGGTAAATTGCAAGCAAAAAGCATACCAACGATATAATCTGCATATTATGCAGGGGTCATTTCGTAGAAAAAGAGGTGCAGGAGGTTATTAGCATAACTTATTAGCATAACTTATTTGATATGCCACACATATGCTATCACCCAGGGAAACATAGGCAACACCCACTGCTCAGGCTCCACTGGACTGTTTTGGATTGCTAGCTATTGGGGGGGGGGAATGTGCAGATCTGTCCTCACAGAGGAGGGACAGCTTGTACCTGAAGGCGGGATGAGGGGGGCTCTGCAACTTACCTGGCTGCTTCTTGCTCCTTGTGGTCCAACTGAGGGCTGCTGGGAGCAGGGGTGGGGCTTGTTGCATGTTCCTGCCCCCTGGGTTCCTTACTGCTGGAGCTCTGCTCCTGTGTGCTACTGCAGGAAATGACCCTTGATATTATAATTATACCAATGGCTAAAGCTCATTTCCACAAACACACTCAATTCCAGCAAACCATTTTGCGATGGAATCAAAGAGGGATTGGTCCTCTAAGTGATGAATTCTGGTACTCTGAGTATATAATGCCTCTACACTATGATTAATTAGGCTCTGGGCATCAGGAATATAAACACAGCATTCTTGTTGGACCATGGCACACGCTGGGCCTCAGTGATCATCTCTAATGCTAATTTGTTCTGCAAAACAGCTGCTCTCTGACTAGCCATCTCTGTGCCAATGGCTTCAAGAACTATAGCAGTGGTGTTCATGGCAGCTTCCATGGCTCTTCCAAAGATGTTTACCTTATGCATAACAGTTATTATTCCCCCTCTAGGCAGCAAGCCCCATGCATATCCAGCATGGATAAAGATACCACATTCCCAGCGGACCTTCCAAGCCCTATAGTTCCCAATGGCTGGACTATTCAAAACCTTTACAACTCTGTGAGGACCCCACAATAGCCCCAAAGAACATCTTCCAATCCACCTAGGGGGAAACCAAGGCCATACGTTTTCTCCACAAATCCAATAGCAACCATTTGGTGCACCCCAATCCAGGGCGCTGGTTCCAGTTGGTACAAAACTACCCCTGGTCTCCAGTGTTAGGGCACCAGTATGTCATCTGACACCCTCTGCTGAAGCCTCACATTGCTCATCCAATAATGTTTGACTTGTTCCCAACAGACCAGATGCTGTGAGGGAGCCCGCACTCTTGGGGGGGGGTGTGATCCATATTAGCCAATCATGGCACTGTTCCAAACCATCTTGAATATGGGAGGATGCTTTGTGCATTCACTGTAGATGCTCTCAGTCTGGTCTCCTGCACATCAACCCATTTCGCTGCAGGCCACACTACCCCAGGAGTCAGTATAGATGCCAGGGATTTCTGTACAGTTTGGGTATCATTTAAGAAGACATAAAAAGCATCAATAACCATTCACTGAAATCATGCACCAGCAGAGCACATCCAGTAGTCGTATTGCTCCTCCAGCTGGGCTAGAGAATAGCTGAGTCCCACATAGGCCTTGCCCTCGATGGCCATCCGAACTGTTCTCCAGATGGCCAGGATCCACAGCAACGTAGGGTAGGACGACATGCTGTAACAAACACAGGTAACGAAATATAATATGAAAAAAGTTATTTAAGAAATACCCTGGAAATACTACTTGTGCTAAAAACTTTATATTTAACCCTTCCCTGTAAAGTGGGGTCTATGGTGGATACCTGGACCCTGTATCTGCAATCTTTCTATTAGGCCATTGTCAGGGCTGTGGACACCATAAAGTTCACACCAGGCCACACCCACACCTGCTATTCTAGTACAACTGAGCAGAATGCAAGCTCATATCTTGCTCCTGGACATAGGCAAACTCCCAGTGAGAACTCTACTGGCCAAATGGTCAGCTCAGACAAAAGGAAGAGGAAAATAGCATTCAACACCTCAGAGAGGGAGGCCATTAAAAGAGATACCAGCACTACCCAATGCAGGCTGTTAAAAAATCAGTATTATTAATACAACTGCTGCCAGCGCTTCTTGCTTGATGGGCATCATCGTCGGTGATACAAGCAATTCGCAGGGAGCATCTGTGATCCGTTCTCAGAACTGCTTTGGTCTTTCCAGCCCCTTTGTACAGTGCCTCGTCTTCTGTTAGACCAGAGCTTCCTGGGAGCTGGACCTACACTTGTCCACCAGCAACACTGAAGCTTCTGGCATCTCCCTTCCCCTCCTTGCCAGGATGTGAAGTTTCTATCACCCAGGGAAACAGTAGGATCAGAAAAAAGATGAGACTGTGCAGACATGACATGCAGTGTGATCTGTAATTTTTTCTTGATAATCTGGGTCAATAACTCCCTTCAACTCTGTTATGTCCTGGGCCGCCAATTCTGGCCTAGCAGCTGTACGGCCTCAGGAATTCTAGCAGTGTCTCCTCCTCCCAGAGTGACTTCTTTGGGAGTATGTATGTCCAGTCCCACTGCCCCTGGGGTTTCCTGAATGAGGATAAGCCACTTCAGGTAACAATTTCCAAGCCTTGAGACCCACAGTTTTTTTGAGTGACAGGGATTCACCAGTCATCCCATGGGGGAGCCACCTCCAGGGAGACCCCACTGGTTTAGCTGGTGGGTGGCCTCATCTAAATGTCTCCACCAATACTTCAAATTATTTCTCCTGGTCAGCAGTTTTATCTGCTCCTTCACACTCAATCAGCCCTGTCGCTTCAAAATGATAGGGAATGTGGTATACCCAAGCTATGGCTTTGTCCTTAGCCCTGGTGATGATTTCTTTTCCCTTGTGTGAGACTCTACAGTAACTCTCAGACTCAATAAGTCCGTTTATGGATTTTATTGTAGAAATCAGAAGAGCTGCAGGTGAATCAAACTCGTTGACAGTAAGAACATAACATAAGAACATAAGAGATGCCAATGTTGGATCAGGTCAAAGGCCCATCCAGTCCAACACTCTGTATCACACAGTGGCCAGAAATACCAGTGCCATCAGGAGGTCCACCAGTGGGGCCAGGACATTAGAAGCCCTCCCACTGTTGACCCCCCCAAGCACCAAGAAGACAGAGCATCACTTGCCCCAGAGCCCCTATCTATACCTTGTGGCTAATAGCCACTGATGGACCTCTGCTCCATATGCTTATCTAACTCCCTTTTGAAGCCGTCCGTGCTTGTAGCCACCACCACTTCCTGTGGCAGTGAATTCCAAGTGTTAATCACTCTTTGGGGGGCGCGGGGGCGCCGTTGGGAATGGCTGCTTAAACCCGACGCTCCGTAACCCCTCCCGATTTACCTCGATTGCAAGCTTAAAGAATACATTTAAAAGGCAACAAGATGGGGAAAAATGGCATCCCACCACAAGGGGGAAGCAAAGCTCCACTTAAAACAACACAGTCAACTAGTAAACTGGAGTTAAAGGCATCGGACGCAGCGATCCCGGCCGCGGCTGCAAACGGCTCGCTCAGCAAACTGTTAGACTCTGCCTTCGACCGGCAAGATTTCCCTGCGATGTTAGAAAGGATGGAAACAAGGCTTGGGGATAAGATTGCCTTAACCCTGCAGCCTCTATCTGATCAGCTTAAAGACATCCAGGCTTCTCTCAGGATAACTGCCCATACAGCCGAGACAGCGCTGAAAATTGGGTCGGCACTGAAAACTGAGGTGAAAGAAATGAGAAAGATGGAGGGAAGCACACGAGACAGGGTTTTAGCGATTGAATCGCAGTTAAAGCAATTTAACCTAAAACTTAGAGGGGTCCCGGAGGGGGCGGAGAATAAGCGTCCCACTACAGTGTTTGTGCAGGAATGGTTGAGAAATTTGCGATACAATGAAGCGCCATTGAACCCCATGATAGTCAGAGCTTTCAGGTTAGGCTCTCTTTCTAATCCACGCAGGAGGGTACCAAGGGATATATTGGTGCAAGTAGGGGATTAGGACACCCGCATTAAAATAATGTCACTGGCAAGAAGCTGGGGCCATATCCCGTTTGAGGATTTACAAGTTCTAGTTTTCCCGGATACTCCAAAAGAAGCTCTTGAGATCCGCTACCAACTGAAACCCATAACCAGCAAATTACAAGCAGCGAATATACGTTATAGATGGCTGCCATCAGGAAAACTCCAGGTAGCACAGAATGGGAAGATTTACCTTGCATCGGATGAAGAGACTGGTTTCCTCATGTTACAAGCACTAAAGATTTGTGATGAAGCTGAACGAAGAGCCTACAAGAGGAAGCTCCTTTCAGCAACCCCTGAAAAAAGCCTGAAGTTTCCGGTCCGTATGAGCACGCCTCCGGAAGCCGAGGAAATGGCTGATGAACAGGATTTGCCCGAATAAACAGCTTTTAAAAGGGCTTGTTGACTATGTTAAATATAGTTAAATAAGCTTAGTTTTCATTTGTTTCTTGGTGGAGTTATTATGTATATTTTGCCTACTTTTCT